CTGCCTGCTGGTTGCCACTTGCTTCCTGCTTGTTGCGCCCGACGGGTCGGCATGCAATTAATTTCAGCTTTGCGGTAAATTGTAGAAGATCTACCTGCCCTGCCCCCCACACAGCCATGAGAAACCGTTGGCATCAATTGAACTTTTGTGCAAGCCGCAGCTTTTAAATGAGTAGCAACCCTGCCACATGTTGAACTCTTGAAGATCAAAGCGGTAAACGTGCATTTAACAAATTTCCATTCGACCATGCGCCCCCATTTCCACATTTTTCAAGTCTGCAATTTCGTTTGTAGCTGCTTTCAGCTAAATGTTATTGATAAGCATCTTCAAGATCGTGAGATGTTCAAGAGAAATTCGGCGATTATATAAGAGCTTAGGAACCGTAGCTCAATATTACAGAGTCGAAATGAGTCTGAAGGAAAACACGAAAGAATGCTCTAATTGGGAGTGCTCGACTAGGGGAATCTCCAAGAAATTAAAGATACTCCATATGTATATACTACTACTACACTAGAAGCTACATGTGAGATCTGGTGACTCTAGCCCTTCAAACCTCAGAGTGTTTGATGAAGATTCTTGCAAACTGGGCAAGTTATCGATTATCGAAAAACAAACAATTTACAATGTTTCAGGTCTCGGCTTTCGATGCTGACCAAGAATATATACACTTTATAAGATCGGAGATGCTTCCTTCTGACTCTTACATACGTTTGCCCAAAACATATGTGTAAGCGAATTCCATTGCAATAAGTATACACAGGATAAAATAATGCGTAAAAGCAGCTTCACGAATCGAAACTCAAACCAGAAAGCTGGTTCAAACCGTAAACCCTACCAAGGCAGTTACGATAATCAAATGTAAATAGCAATAGATAAGCTGTCCAAGTCTAAGTGCAGGCAACTAGCCGTACTACTAGTACTACTACTATTTCTACTACTATTTCTACTACTATTTCTACTACTATTTCTAATACTATTTCACAAATATAAGTATTTGTTTTGAAAATTGCGCAATCTGATCCTCTTGGCATTGCAGATTGGGCATTTTGCCGCCACTGCCCGCAGGCGGAGCACCAGGTCACAACAGCGACAAGAGGCACGATTCCTCGCACAAGTCGTCACATCATCAGTCACAACAACAACAACAACAACAACAGCTGCAGCAGCAGCAGCAGCAGCATCATCTGCAGCACCATTCCAGTGGCAGCTATGCGCATCCGTCGCAGCAGCAGCGCCGCCATGAGACATCACCGAAGCGCTTCAGCAGCTCGCTGGGCAGCGATACGGGCAACAGCACGCGCGAATCCGAGTGCAGCGAGGAGCAGGGTCTGGCCGGCTCGCCAGTCTCCCGTTCGCCGCCACATGCCAGCAGCAGCAGCAGCAACAAGCATCATTTGGCACATCACTCGCATCATCCACATCCACTGCCACATGGTCATCCGCCGCTGACGGCGCAACAGAACAGCGAACTGTTCGACTCGCTGGCCGCGGAGCTGCGCGCCAAGCTGAATGGCAATGGGCCGCCGCTGCTGCTGCCGCCGCGCGACTATGATACAGTGCATCGTTCCAAGGGCAATCTGACGGCCATTGAGCTGCGGCGCTGTCGCAATGCGCTGATTGTGGGCGGCGCCGGGCCGACCAAAGGTGCAGCAACTGCCACAGCAGCGGCAACCGCAGCGGTAGCAACAGTTGCCGCACCGGCCACCACGGCCAATGGCAAGCAGGTCTCTTCGCGCGGCTCCTCGGGCATTGGCTCCGATCTGGCGCCCAGTCCGGAACGTCAGGAGCTGAACAGCTCAAGTGGTGAGTAGCCAACTAAACTTATCAAAAAGTCAATTTCTAATCGCTGCCTGCGCAGATGACGAGCATTGGTCGAATGAGGCGGACAACTCGGTGATTGCCTTGAAGCCATCACAAATTGCGCTGCCGCATCACGCGCAGCTGAAGCGCAAGAGCGCTGTGCAGCCGCCGGAGGATAGCTATCTGCGGGATTTGCCCGCCAAGCCGTATGTGCCGCGCCAAATGGAACGGGAGCGCACCAAGACGCCGGCCGTCGCGACCAAGTCCTGGTCGAGAGAGGATGAGATCAAGCCGATCATTGTACGACCGGCCGACTATGATGCAAAATTTAATCGGGTTATGCAGCTGGAGCCGCAAACGGCCAAGCATGAGGCAGCTGCCAAGCTGCGCGACACTGACAAATACAATGAGATCAATCGTTTGCTCAACAAGAAGCTATCCGGCCAGGACAGGGATCGCGAACGGGAGCGGGAGCGTGAGCGTGCGCGAGAGTTGGAGCGAGAACGCGATCGGGAGCGGGAGCGGGAGCGTGTCAAGCAGCGCTCCCTTCACGATGACGACTTGGATGACTTTGATGACTCGGATCCGTGCAGTGAGCCCCAACAGAAGCAGCTGCCTATTGCCGCTGCCGGCTACCGCAAGGAGAATCTAACCGATAAGCAAAAGTTCATGGAGTACGCATCCAAGAAGCAACAGCTCAAATCCTATGCAGCCGAGGAGGCGCAGCGCTATGGCGGCAGTCGCCATCGCTATGTGGATCCTGCCGAGCTGCCGTTTGAGCAGCTGCCGGGCCCCGTGCAGCCAATGCCCGTGGGGCACAACAAGTATGCGGCAGTGCATCGCGGCGCAGAGCAGACGCGCAGCAGCAATAGCAGCAACAGCAACAATGCGGAGCGACGGGAGCGCCACGACAGAGAGCGAGAGCGAGAGAAGGAGCGCGAGCGGGAGAGAGAGCGCGAGCATTCCAGGGATCGCAATCCGTATCGCGAGGCAGAGAGCCTACCCTACATACAGAGCATGGAGAAGATGATGAAATCAACGGGCATGCGCTACGGCGATGAGCCGCCCCGCAAGCCCAGCAGCCGGGATGGCGCACGTCGTGATCCGACAGACTATGGCCGGGAATATCCAATCGCCGCTGGCAGTCAAGTGTCGCCACGTGAGCGCTTCCACGATGCCAAGGACAAGTTTCGGGCCATGGAACGCACCAGCAGCAGTCGCGGCTACGATCTGGATGAGCGCGACAATAGCGGAGCAGCAGCGCCCGCAGCGTCAGCGTCATCAACAACAGATTACAGATCGTCGTCGCGTCGGCGTCGCGGCTCCGTGGAGCCGCCCAGCTATGAGCAGTGGAGCGATGAGGAGGAGGAGCTGCAGCCCGTACAGCCGCAGGAGCCCATCATGAGCCGTTCACGTGCTCGTTCGCGCGAGCACTGGGAACAGGAGCAGCTGCAGCATGCCAGCAGCAGCAGCAACAGCAATATGCGTCATGGCCAGGAACGGGAGCGAGAGCGCGACAGGGAACGCGAGAGGGAACGGGAGCGGGAGCGAGAACGGGAACGTCGCGAACGCGACTATCCCATGCGACGCACTGAAGATATACGCGAGCCACCACACGATCCCTATCGACAGGAGCGTGAACGGGACCGGGCACGTGAGCGCGTACGCGACAGCCATCAGTCGCAGTCGCGTCACCAGATGCGCGCCCATTCGCGCGAATATCTGCAGCCGACGGAGCCGTTGCCCATATCCAAGTCTAGCTCGTCGCGCGTGCCGCACCATGCCGAGCGGTATCCATCGCCGGCGCCGACGCCCAACAGCAGCAACAGCGCCGGCTCCGGCTCCGGCAAACAGCCGCTGTCCAACATGCCCAAGGGCTATCGGCACAGCTATGCGGAGCCCGTGTTTGCGCGTTCCGGCGGGCGTGTGGGCCTAGCCGCAGTCAATCCCTACTAGCAGCAGCAACGACAACAACTACAACAACACTTCTATATGAACATACTCAATTACTGTACATTTCACACACACACACACACACACTGAGACACAGACCACTTTTGGAATGTATCCGTCTGGGGAAGAGGAACGACCCCATCCAAGCGCCACAAGGCAGCCGGGCACCAAGTGCCCCGCCGGCCAGCGCCTGTAATTATGTGCCTTCAAAATATGTTTTATATCAGTACAGATACATATATATACATATACGTATACATATACATATACATATACATATATATATATATATATATATATATAGATTAGCCCATCTATATGCATCAATATCTATGACTGTATAATGCATGTATATTTTTATATAGCTAAAAACGAAACGCGAACAAATCGATCAGAGTTGATATATGCATTTTTTTTTTTCGTATTCTTAAGTTGTGCGGTTGGTTGGTATACAAATATCATATATATATATAGTATACATATATATATATATATATATATATAGATATCTATTTTTTTTAAATCAACATATTTGATACTTGTATGCATAATGCACGTATATAGCTGATGTATCTATTGTTATCAGTTTGATATTTACATTAATAAAGCGCTAGAAAAAAAAAAACTATAATAAAAATTTTCTTTATTTATCGCACCCAAAATGTTGTCCATTTAAGTGAAACAACGAAATTTGGCTAACAACATTCAGTTTAGTTAAGTTTTTGGTGTTGTCAATTTGTCTCAGCTAAAAACTACTTTAATTCACACAGGCGAAAACGTAACTCGGAACAGGCCTTTCGAATCCGCCGCCTATCAGACACTTTTGTTTTTTAGAGTGGCGCCATCTCTCGGCACCACGAGCACAACTAGAAATACGAATCAACCCTGCGTAATGTTGGCCCACGTAGATAACATTTCGCAAACGATCATTAAATCATATTCTGCTTCAAAATCGTCTAAACTAATCGCATAACAAAGCCCATATTATTGTAACAACAAGCAGAAATATTAAATGGGAGCCACCAATTATTAATAAAAGGAAGTAAAAAAAATATACAACAAAGTGTGGTAACACTGTTTTTCAAATTAAATCGGGAAGTACCACATGTTCAGCTGGACAATAAAATGGGTGTGTGTTAGTTTAGATTTTGATTTAGAGCAAATTTAACCTAGTTAAGTATTCAAAAATGTCGGTACAAGATTTCTGCAGAAACTTACCAGAAGTAAATAACGCCAATGTCGAAAAATCCATCAAGAATAATTATAAGTATTCAGCCAAAAATCCTAATTACTAATTACATTACAAATGATTATTTTCCGGATGTGATGCGTTATTAACTCCTGAATTATGCAATTTATATGTATTCCTTATCCAAACATAAAACACTTCCAAAACTTACGCCAAAGCACTAAAAATAAGAAAAATTTTGCATGGTAAAAATATTTCATGGAAATCGTTTCAGTTTTTGGAAGCTCGAAAACTCTACCTAAGAATGTTTTCGAGGTTCCTGGTTTGAGGTTTCTATACTATATATATTAAATATATAACATACCATAAATATTATATTTAATATATATATTATATCCTAAAAACATTAAAGATATAATTTTCATATAAATTCGAACTCAGATTTGAATAGACGAAATTTGATATTCTCTCAAAATTGACATAAGAAATATTAATTACTTTAAAAGTTCTCGAAAAGATTTCGATTAAACACGTTTCACGTATATTGTATTACCATAAATTATATCATATGTCTGAGTCATCATATATCTTGAACACTTCTCGACCAAAAACAAATTTTAAATTTTTTAATAATTAATCAATAAATAATACTCACGATTTTTTTGCCGGTCGTAAGGAATTAGTCAATTGATTTGTCGCCGGATTCCATGTTTTTCGTTTGTTGTTTTGTTTTACATTTTTATTGTTTAATTTAAAAACTCTTTGTTTGGTTTTTCACAATATTTTTTTTTTTTTACGATTTTTTCAAAACAAAAATAAAGAAGAAAAATATAGTTTATATAATATATTTTTTTTCTTTCTCTCACTTGTGTTTTCGTTTTTTGTAGTTTTTTTTTTTTTTTTTTTTGTAATAATATTAATTAAAAATATTGGTTTTGTTTTTTGTTTTGTTTTTTTGTTTGTTTTTTTTTTTTTGTTTTTCTTTTGCAAGTTAATTTAAGAAACAATTAATCAAGTTCTTATTTAATTATACAAATTTAAAAAAAATAGTAATTATATAATAATAAAAATAATATTTATAACGGGGGAAAATGCAAATAGCTGTTGTTGTTGTTGTTGTTGATTTTTCATGTTGTTGTTGTTTCTCTCATTTTGATGCGCGCACAAAACCGACAAAGAAAATGGGATTGTGGGGCAGGGTGGCGGTGCGGCGGAGGCTTGTGTGTGTGTTTTTTTAAACAAACTTTGCGACCATATTACAATATTTGTTAGACTGAGGAAAGAGGGTGGTGGAAGCGATTGATTGATTGATTGATTGACTGTTTCATTGTATGATTGTCGTTCAACACTAGACTGTCAAAACCGGATGTTTCTATTATTTTTCCTTTAACTAATACTCTCCATAGATCCACATATGATTCCTCCTTTTCGGCTACTTCTTTACATAAGGTCACAAAAAAAAAATTATTTATATATATATATATATTAATTGGTCTGCATATTGGTTCAGTGTAAGCTTGGCTATTGATGGTTGAGTGCGAGGGGCTGTTGTGTTGTGTGGTGCGTGGGGTGTGGGGGGCGCGCTGCGTCGATATGGTGCTGGTGGTTGGATTGTGGTTGCCTTCGGGATTTAGGACAGAGCGCTGCTAATAGTTGTTTGTTGGGGCGTGGCCAGCGCTTTACATGTTCTCAAACTGATCCACGCGACGCTTTGTGTTGCCCTTGCGGATCTCACGCAATGTCTTATACTTGTCGCGTCCCTGGCGCACATTCTCACGGTGAATCTTATCATTTGCCGTCTCTTTCGTTTCGTCGCGTGACTGCGCCAGATCTTGCTTCAGGGCCTGCAAAAGAGCGAGAGAGTGAGATAGAAACAGGCACGAACAATGTGTGAAATAGTTCTTGAACAAAAAAAAACAGTTCTATAGTGTCCAGCCGTTCGCTAAGTTTAGCTCAAATACGTATTTAACTGAGTCTTTGAGCTATAAACCAAACTGATGCTCAATTGAGATGAGTTTAAAATGCTTAACTTATTCTAGATATTATAAATTTATAACAGAATGCCGAACGTATAGAAGGAGACATCAAGAATAACAGCTGCTTCAATATAGGCACATCATTTGCTTCTATGCTAACTAGTCTCGCAGTTTTAAGACTACGATCATGGAAACTTGCATAGGTGCGTCTTGCGAATACACAGAGTATCTAAATCAGAACTGACTGAATGGGAACACTATACCATTTAGTTGTCATAGAAAGTTAAGTTCTCTCTTGCTTGTTTTTCGGAATATCCCTATCAAACATGGCTTTTACAAGTTTTAGCCTGCTCACATATATATGATATGCTATCCAATAAAAAGTTTATCTTCAAACTCAGCAATTGTTAGCTGCACAATTCTCTTCTTTTCTAAACATATTTTCCGCTAATTATAACAAAAGAAGTTCTTTCAAAATTCCTCCATGCCATGATAAGATAGTTAAATAAACTGTTTGCTGCGCCCATTTTGCCAAAAAGTCTTATCTACATATCTTAGCATATTTATCTAGAAAGGTTATCTATTGGGTCGCAGCACGTATATCGTTAAATATGCCGCTCTGCTGGCTCGTATGTTTGCACGCACCTTGAGCTGATCGTGCAAACGTTCATTGCGCTCGGCCAGCGTGCGTCTGTCCTCGATGGGATCCTTGATATGCTCATCTGTGTCCAGGTCGCGCGACACATCGCCGCCGGCATCGCCATTCGTCAGCTCCTCCTCGTTTTCGTTCTCATCCTCGGCCACGTGATGGTGTTGCGGCGTGGTGGATGCAGCCAGCAGCGCAGCAGCAGCCTCAGCCTAGATGCATAAACAAATGGAAAAGATGAATGATGATGACGGATAATGGGTATGTGGTGCGGATTAACCTGCTTGCGGCGTGCTTCCTCGACCTCGTCTTGTAGGCGTTTGGTCTCTTCGTCCTTGGCATTGACCTCGTCCTGAATGCGCTGCACCTCCTGTTGCTTGGCCATGATCTCCTCCTCAAGTTTGGCCTTCTCGACGGCCTCCATGTTCTTGGCCTCCTCGAGGCGCTGCAGCATAGACTGCAGCTCCTTTTGGCGCAGCTCAAGCTCATCCTTGGCGGCCTGCAGCTGCTTCAGCTGCTCCTCCAATCGTCGTATCATCTCCTGTGCCTCGAGTAGATCACGCTGTGAGCGCTCCATCTCCTCTTGCATTTGCTTGAGTCGATCTTCGTACTCCTGCTGCTTCTTCTCGGCGCGCTCACGTGCTGCCAGCGCCAGCTGCAGCTTCTCGCTGCAATTGGGCAACAAACAAGAGATGACATATAGAATCTGTATGAGAACTGGTGGAAACTTTGTGGGATCCACTTACCGCTCCTGCTGTTTGGCATTCTTTTCTTCGCGCGCCTGCGCCTTCATCTGCTGCACATCGATCGTGTCGGGCTTGCGACGACGCATGTAGAGCTCATGGTTGCCCATGCAGAGGGCCAGGATGCGCTTGTTGATGCGAACGCGCGGCGCAAAGAACATAAAGTCCGGCGCCTTCTTATCAATCGGTTTGATAATGAACTTCTTCTCAGAAAATGAAATGTTACGTATTTCGGACCATGGGAAACCAATTTTGGGCGTTAGCCGATCGTCCTGCTCGTAAATGTTAAGGCCGAGCGCATCGACGCCCAACCACAGATCGGTGCCCTTCTTGTTGCGTATCTCGAAATAGTTAACGCCATACATTTCCAGATCCTGGGCAATTTTCAGATACTCCATCATGGCATCTTCGCGCAGCATGCTGCGATGCTCCTGCCACCAGGTCATTATCGATTGCTCCCATTCGTCCTTGGACATCTTGTGCTGATCGATGACACGCTGTGGCAATAGGCGATCGTTCGCTAGGAAACCGGCTGTGTGAGTGGTTTTATTGTGATCACCGTGGCGCGCCTGCACCGCATAGGAGGCCAGCAGCACCGACGTTTCCGGCGGGCAGTAGATCTCGTCGGTCAATATGGCATTCTTCACTTGCAGATAGAACAGGCGCAGTGTGATGTCCTGTATTAGCTCCTCGGCCACATCCTCGGGATAGAATTTGGCACGGAATCTGAATTGCAAGGGATTCTCCTTTTTCACATCCTGATTCATAACCTATACAAGCGGATTGATATTTGATTAATATACAAGTAGCTAAAAAGCATTCCTTTTAAATGTTTAATACATATTAAATATTTCTACATAAATTTAATTTATATATTGCCCAATTGGGTTACCCATGTGGAGAACGGCATTGATCCAGTCTATGCAGTTGTGTGTGCGTTCGGTGCAAAAGTGTGCAGCATGTTTTTTAATGGAGAATTAATCAGAGATCAATAAGAATTATATTAAGTTAAGTTTTTCATTGGCAAACTTTACATTTTAGAGGCGGGGGAGAAGGCATGCAAGGTCTAATATACCAACATATCGATAGATACAAGGATTTCAGCGAAAACAGCAATATTTAAGCTATCGCTGATGCCAGTTTTCAGCCGCGACGTTGCCAAATTTCACAACTAGCTAAGTTTAACGTTCCTTCGATCGACGGATTGAATATTTGAATTTAAACATTTTCAAAAATATATTACACAATATAAACAAGCGTATCCCGGTTGCTTTGCCAACTGGCTTCTTGGCAATTTTCACTTTACAGCGTTGCCAATTTTCACAGCTAGCAATTTTGTAGGGTAGTAGGGTGCATTGAGGAAAAAGGAGTCACAATGCTTCGAGGCAATTTCTTAGCGAGTTACACTAGCAATATCTAGTTGTTTTTTTTCTTTCTTTTTGATTTGGCCCACCATATCATCGGCATCGTCATCCTCCTCGCTTTCATCCGTCTGATTGTGTCCATTGCCATCAGCGGTCTTTTTGTCCACATATTTCTTAACACGTTTCAAATATTTAATTGTCTTTATGGCCGGCGATTCAGGCTAAACATGAACACATAACCTTAATTATTGTCTAATCCAGTAGATTTTATGGCAAACACAATATACTTGCAAAATACTATGATATATAGCTATAAATTTTTGTGTATAGTTGTTTTTTTTTTTTTTTTAATTGCTTACCTTTTTGTATAGCTTAATCCATGTGGAGTCACCCTTTGAGTCGGTGTACTGCAGACCAAAGAACCAAACCTCGCGCAAGCCAATCGTCTTGACCACCTGATCGAACAGTTGTTTGCCGGTCGTTGTCGACTGAATGGCAAACTCCAGTTCAGCGTCCATTGTCGTGACGCGCACATTTAGCTAAAAATATATATAGAAAATGGGGAATATGTAGTAGAAGTTATGTAATCATAAATATATTTTAGTTTCAGGCATTTTTCTTAATTTGTGTACTTGGAATCCCCAATACGATAACACTTGCCTAAGAATAATAATATAGATATGAACATGGTCAAATCTATCGGTTTATAGACGTCAATTGGGAAGCTAGGAATCTTTGGGGATTTTTACATTTACTTCCTTAGGATGACAAATCCCTAAGCTTCTTTTTTTTTTATTAGAATTGAAATTCTCATGTGCTTGGTTCATGTGATTTCTTCCATTTCAATGGGTTTTGGTCATTTCTTATCTTCTCTTTCTGGCGTTCAACCCTTCACCACCATGCGGCAAACAAATTGGTCAAGTGACACACAAACACAGAAAGACACGCTCACACAGTTGCCTCTCTCCTCTCAGCCCTTCTCCACTCTTCTCTCTACACGCCCATGTGACTGGGGGCACCTCTTGTATAACGATGACTTCTCTAGACAACCCGCGCGGTCAACAAGCTTAACAGCTAGTCTATCCATTGGCTATCTATGTGTGTTGTTGTTGTTGTTGTTGTTGTTGTCATGGTTGATTGCTTTTTGCCGTTTCCCGAGCGTGATTTTCCTGTATGGAGCTTTCCCGCCCGTAATTAGCTGACACGTGCACGCCCCACATGTTGGGCCAATTTTACTTATATAATCCTCCTTTGTCAGTTGCCGCTCGCAGGTCCAGTTCCAATGCGAGCAAATTTTGCTCGTTTATCAAAGCATTAAATGATCAAGCAAACGATTTTTTATTTTTTTTTCCCCTTGTTATCGATGTGGAAATGTGTGTGAAACTATCTTTGTTCTGCTTTGATATCAATAAATTGTCATTTACGCTCATATCTATTTCCAATTGGGGCAAATCGAATTTTTTGCAACAATATTGCAAAGTTATTTTTTGCAAAGCGTGTTATCGATAACTCAGTTATCGCATTATCAAGCGCAATGCTGAGCGAGGTTCATATAGAGTAAAAACTTTGCAAAAGTTATATTTATCGAATTTCTAAATGTTGCTCTGAACGTAAGGTTCTGTGAATGAATCCACGTTATCGATATCGCCTAGTATTATCGATAACGATTATCGATATCGATAACTAAGCTGTTGCAGAAAATAGATTTCAAAGCTCAAATGCCACAATAGTTTTTTCTAGAGCATTTTAACGATCTTTATGACTAAGTTCTCGTAGGCTCCAATATAATTCATAATTGAGTGCAAAATGTCGCGCTTTCTAGATGATTCCAGTTCTTGTTACGTGTTGTTAACTTTTTGCATATTTGTTTTGCTACGTAAATTGGCGCGTTGTTGTTGTTGTTGTTGTTATTGTCGCTTTTTCTTCTCTATTTCTCTATGCTGTTTATTAGTGCACTTTTTTGCAATGCAAATCAAACGTGACACAATGCAAGGAAATTGAAAACGTTCATTTCAATCCAATTAACGTTTTTGGGTTAATACACGTTGCTGCTGCTGTTGCTGCAGTTGTTGCTGCAGTTGTTGCTGCTATTATGTCTACTGTACGTGCATAATACAAGCATAGCTCACACATTGGCCCCACTGTGCATGCGAGTGTGGCAACGGAAACAGCCGCCGCATAATCAACCAGTTCACGTCTCCCTCTCTCCTAGCTTTGCCTCTGCTCCTCTCTCTCTCTCTCTCTCTCTCTCTCTCTCACTCAGTCTTTGGCCGTGTGCTTCATCTGCGAGTCGATTTGTCGCTTTTTGATAGGCAGCGCCGGCTGCTGCATGACAAATTGCTCTCAAGCTATGCCAAAAAGTTGGCCTATGTGACGTTACTTTTCCACTTTAACTTTTATTTTATTTTTTTGTCAAGCCGGAAACCATTTAAATGCATCAAAGCACAAGAAAAAACAAGAAAATATTTGCAAATAGTCGCATATTTCTGGCGGAGTCGTGAATTATTCAATTAGTTTGTCAAATTCCAACAGTTTATGGCAAACTCTTGCCCAACAGCAAATGCTTCATTTGTAAGTATTTGTGATTATGCAACTTTGGCTTAAAGCCAAGATATTTCTTAAGATGCTTTTCATATTTTACAGCTCCAATAAATAAATGCATAGTGCGCCTTAGTAATATATATAATACCAATAAAAACGTGCAAGCTTTCAAATTGAAGACATAGACAGATATAGATATATAGATAGAAGTATATATTGGAAAAAAAAAAAGATTCTTGAAACTCGTTCCATGCAAAAACAGAATACAAAGCTACATTAATGGGGAAAACTTTTGGGCATTGACTATTAAAAAATATGATGAAACCTTTTATAATCTTGCAAAATACAGCTATAAATGTTATAGGACTGAACTATCTGCATGCCATAAGATAAGATATGACAATCTCTAAATATATATAATCAAAAAACTGTTTCTCTAAAAAACAATCGCAGAACTGAAGCCAAAGAGAGCTTTGCTTTAAGGTTAAAAAAAAAGAAACGAGCTAAATTTCACGGTGAAGAATTACCCTGAATAAGCTGGTTTTATCAGCTAGATTTATCAGCTGGATTTATCGGCTAGATTTTTAAGCTGGTTTCATAAGAAAGATCGTTAAGCTATATTTTTGAGCCCAGGTATTAAAAATATAAATTGTCGATCAAATCTTTGAGCTTATATATATTTAACAAATCTATTCAACAATTTGGACTAAAAGCTGTTCAAACACAGTGACAGCTCGCCAATTAGAATTATCAAGAAATAAGAATCAGCCTTGAAACTGAAATTCCTATTATTATTATTTATAAATAATTATTCATGTAAAAAAAATGTTAAAACATTACATTCATATAATATATAATTAGCTTAAATTGGGAGCATCAGCGGAACCGAAGAGTTCTAATTAGCAAGCGACCACTGTAGGAGGAAGCACACACACACACACACACACAGGCACACAGGCACACACACACACACACACACACACACACACACACACACACACACACACACACACACACACAGGCACACACACTACATTGAAATGCCCTCCTCAAGGGTATTCCGAGTGGAATGTAATGCAACATGGAGGACGCACCATTTTGCGCTTCACGCTGCCGGCATAGCGCGAGAGCCGCGCACGGCTGTCGGAGACGACGACCATTTTGGGCGGCCAGGCGTTTTTTAGTAGTTTTTGAATAGCTGCAAAATTTGGGATGGCGCGTGGCGCACACACACACCCACACACACGCGCACACACACAGAGGAAGAGAGACGAAAGACACGCGTTGCAACAAAAAAAAAAAAACAAAACAACAAATGACCCGCAAAAAGAAAACTTAGACAATGCGCGTCGTTCTGTTGTCCAGCGGCAACTGAGGAAAATGGAAAAGCGCCATTTGGTATTTAAGTTAATTCCACACAACAGTCGATAGACTCTATTGACGAGAAAGTGGCCCAGGCCCAGGCCCAGGCCCAGTCTCAGGCAGCACGTGATCAGGTGTAAGAGGCAAGGGTGGCACTTGCAAGAGAGGCGAGCGGCAAGGGGCGGGGGCCGAGCACCCACGTCACAGCGACAAAGTGAAATGGACAAACGCTGGAATTATATTTTCCCTCAATTCGATTTTACGTATTTTTCTTTTTTTCATTTTTCATTTCACTTTTTTACCCCCGCCTACTTGCTGGCAATTGTATGTTAATTATGGAGCTAAAAATAGATAGACAAATGACTAAACTGAGACATTAATACAGCTGTGCTTTTCACCTTCTCTACCCCCCCTCTCACTGCCTTTCTCTATCTCTCTCTCGCTCGCGCGCTGAGCTGACCAGTGGGCAGGGGCCCGGCCTGAATAAACAAATCAGCGTCAATCATGTGGCGCGTTGGCTGTCAGTTCTATTAGAGCTGCAATTAGCCAAGCCCATTAAGGTAAATATGTACATCAAGAATAACGAAAGGGCATATAAATTATATGTGAAGTCCCATCATTTTTACCCTGCCTTATTCGAATTTACGTAAAAGATAATCTGTTTTTATGGCATTTTAGCTATAGAGCCTATTAAAGCATGCTAAAGCCATTTCCAACGCTTACGAATGCGCCGCAAAGAAGATAGATAGATTAAGCGATAAAACGTAAGAGCTAATGTGTGAAACGTTTACGAATGAGACACAAAGCAGAAAGCAAGAATTGAAAATGTCTATCTGTATCAGAGCGGAAACAAGACAATGTGAGATCATTCAAACGCATCAAGCTATGAGTGGAAACGTTTACGAATGAGTAGCCAAAAAGGAGAAGACAAAAAACTTACACCTAGAGCTCTGTGCTTTACACACCCCACTTCCCCACACGCGACAAATACTTACACGGAGAACTTATCTTGAAACTCAATTTTGAGGTCATTTGTTTTAACGATTTACAATACGTGCTAACCGCATTTCATAAAAAATATACTCTCTTTAGATAGTGGGCAAAATAAAAATAATAGTTGACACTGAACTTATTGACTGAATTATTGTTTTGGCTCTGTCCGTCTGCCCTGTTCGCTGTCAGTCAAATTGAATCAAATGAAATGAAATCGCAACAAATCAGTTTTTTGCACGTCGTCCAAGCTGTCAACTGATAGAAAATTCCGCAAAAGCACAAGACGGCTACAAAAAAAAAAAAAAAAAAAAAAAAAAAAAAAAAATTGGGCAACGCCAATGTGATTCCCACCTCCAAGGGATGGTAGGGGGGCGACAAGCATTATGACGTCGCCCGCAAATATTTGACGTCATCGTAATATATTTGTATTTTATTATTATTTTGGCTCAATGCCAAGTTAAATGTTTCGACGTCAGGCATTTGGCCAGTTCAATGACGCTCTGCAGATGACGTCTTTTAATTTTTCAGCAAGTTCTGCTGTCAATCATGATTGATAAGAAAAAGTACACACTCGCTATGACATTTTTATTTTTTTTTTTATTTTTGATATCGATGTCCAAGTGCTTGATAATCTATCATAGTTTACAAGCTTGTTGCCATTCCCATAATATTTTGGTGTTCTTTTCTTATTCTTTATCAGCGCTCTCAAAACATGAAATGAGTTTTTCATTAATTTGATTGCTGCTGTGATTGATTGCATAACGATTGAAATTCAATTTGATATCAAATGTCTACATATGAAAATAATATAAATGTGCATATTATCAAATGTTTTTAAGTAGATTTGCATGTTTATTTTTAATGGCATAACAATTCTAGACGAACGAACAAACTACTTCAAACTACATTTCAATTATTCTTGTTGATTTCTTTGCAAACAGTGTGGCAACACTTACACATCTTGTATGTTAACCAACACTGAACTTTTGTTGGCTTTACCAAATATCTAGGCGAATTCTTAGCGCTGAACCCATTGGACGTTTGCACGAACTCTAAACGAGTCGAGCTTATAAGAATGTAGCTCTATCTTGTGCCCGCGCAGTACGCGATTGGTAGAACAAAGTTCGGGGTACAGTGAACAGTGCTGCCAGCTTGTTTTTACATGTGTAAAGGTTGCCACTTTGCAGTGTTACATCACACAGTTCATTTGCCACTTCAATTATGTACATTTTAATGCTTTACTTACCGATTTTGGCGACATTTTGCTGCTTGTCTCTCCTCACCCAGTCGTTGTTAGTGAAATTTTAACAGTTTTTGGGTTGCCACAAATTTTTGGAAGTTTGCGTTTCTTTGCTCTCGTGTCTGTTTGCTTTTACCTCAGTACTGGTTCAGACTGCAATGAGAATTGACAGGAGAATAATGCAATTAATTGAGAGAAAATAGAACAAAAATAAATATATGTCTCGATTAAACTAGTTTGGGGGCAGCAAAATGAAAGACAAATAAATATTGTAAAGCTGTTGGGCACAGTTGCTTTCTGCACACGCCAAGCGACTGCAAATGGAAAGCTCACGATCATAATTCCTATATATAGGAGCTGTGTGTTTTGTATATATCACTTGGCGCATGTGGTTATATCTGGTATATACGCTTCTTTCGGATTTCACCTGGCACATTGACAAACGCAAAATGCAGCCTCAAAAACAACTAGTAATTGTATTTGCTGCCTTTTTTTTTCTTTCTAATTATGAAATCATGTTAAATCAAAACTTAAAGCGCGCACTCGAAAAATATTGATAAAAATGTTTCGAGCGGAAATGCCAAAAATCAAGAAAGAGAGGAACCGCTCGTTTTTCATATATATATTTTGACAAGCTCAACTCTTAATGGAACCAACCCACCCGAGGCCAGAGCAAGTGCATCAATTTCTTGAAGCTATTTATATTTAATATGGAAACGAAAGAACTTAAATCGAATATTAAATGCATATGTTTAAAGGCATTTTGCTGTTTGTTTTGGTTTATTGTGGCCAAAAGCTGTCAAACATGCCATGAAAACTCAATTGACATTTTGACATATGACATTTGAAACGCCGCTTACCAACACTGACGTCACACGAGACGCCATATTTGTTTGACTTACTCGTATATATATATATATATATATATATATATATATATATATATATATACACTATATGATTTTTGAAACGAGCCTGAACAAACGGTTTCCGTCGAAATGCAAATTAATAATCATTAGCTGCAAAGGCAAAAGACATTCCAAAGTTTCGGTTTTCATTGTTGTTGTTGGGTTTGCACAAATTATGACATCATGCCGACTTTATTATCGCTTCTGCGTGAACTTCGAGTGTACATAAATACACATACACACATATATATTAAACACAAACTACTACTCTATCAACACACACACACACATGCACACACTTACACACAAGTAAGTTATGTTACACTCTTTAAGTGTTGTTGGTTACAAAACATCATAAGAAAAAAAAAAACTATCTAAGGAATTCGTATTGGTATTTATCATCCGAAATTCTTGTTAATTGTTGTGCTTGTCACAAAAGACGTGTTTTATTAGCAGCTAACTTTGAAAAGCAAAAAGATGACGCCAGTGTTAGTAAATATTCAAATTTCCGTTTTCATTGGAAACCAAACTTCGATAGAAATTTATTACTGCTGTTAAATTAATATCAATTTCAGATTCAACAAATAGAAATTCCTACAGCTTTTTCATACGAATGTCAGTGTTGGTAAACATTTTATTAACAAACATATATTTCAAAGAAATTTACGCGCAAAAATTTGTGTTCTTAAGTTCTTAAGCAAAAACTTTCTCTAATGGAATAGATGAAATATTAAAATCTTCACAAAAAAAATAATATTTAAACCAAGAAATAAATGATAATTGTAAAATACAGGGTATTCCATAATCGTTGGCCGCTTGCTTCGATGAACTCGCTTTCCTGTTGTTGCTTCATATTTATTATTTTGAGATTTCTGTTAAATATTATTTATTTGCCTTGGACTCGAGTGGTGGGCTGTACCGTAAATTTTGAAATGAGCTCATATTATTTCTTGCCAGCTGTAAATGAGCGAAATGGTGCTAATCAGCGGCAGCGGCAAGCGACAAATTCCTTTGGATTGAATCAAGCGTTGAGGGCCAAAACGGAGCGTCTATTGGCAGCAGATGAATGAATCATTTGAATGTTAAGCGCACACACACACACACACATACATACTCATAGCACTCAAACGTTTAGTTACGAGCAATGCATCCATCCTGCCTTCGAGCAACCATGCGTCATTTCCTACTTCAGTTGATTGCTATTTGATTTTATTTCATTTTACTTTTGCTTAATCTGTGACTTGATTTTTTTTTTTTTTTTGTTTTGTATGCAGGAGAGGGACGAACGGGAGGCGTAAGGGCTGGTCTGGTGGCTTTTAAGTTTACCGCCACAAACGGAAATGAAAATGATTTGGCGAAAATGCTTGAGCGACGCATTTATGGACTAGGACTGGAGCGCAGCTTAAATTATCGATAACACAATACGTTGCTCAGCACTAAGCGAAGCGTCCACTGTGATATGCACAGTTATGTTATGCACATTACGTTTACATAATATCGCCGGGGGTTAACCCACGCGCAACATTTGCTCATTGTTTTGTTTATGTTTAATATCCATTAACTGCATTTAATGAGTTCAAGCTAAAAGCAGCGGGCCAAAAATCACGTTTTCGTTTTACGTTAAATGCTTGACCAACGGAACCACAAGCGCAAAAAGCACACAAACACAAACGCAACTAATGAGAGCTTTTGAGCGTTGAGCGCAAGCAAAGATGTAAGAGAGCGTCGTAAGAGAGCGACGCGAGGCGACGCAACGCTCGCATTGCGTATGCGCAACGCAATGGAAGCCAAATAACTACATAAAAGCGAAATGACAACAACAACAACAACAACAACAACAACAAGAGCAGCCGCAGCGTGCGCTGTCTTATTATTATTATTATTATTTTCTTGTTGCCATTCGCTTTTACTTTTCATTTTCATTTGGAGTCGTAAAAGAGGCATATCGTAATAATAATAAATAATCATTAAATAAATAGCTAAAACATTTTCTGCGCCAAACTTTTAATTTCAACAATTATGCGTCTTTTTCATGGCGCGTTGATTTTCATCCATCCCGCTCGCACTTTCTTTAACTTCATCTCTCATTGTCTGTTTTAACTGTTTGTTGTGTGGCCAATAATTAAAATGGGGCAATCAAGCGTACAAATGAATCGCTGCTGACCAAGTAAACTGTTTAGTCTGTATACCCTGTACTTGAAGCGTCGAAAGTGTATGCTGGGCGAAAGTATTAAAACTGTATTTTCTTGAATATCAACCTTTCGATTTCTCTCTTTTTTTTTATATTTCTCCCGAACATTTTAATGTAAAAGCTTTAATTCTTATATTACCTACAGACTACAGGGCATCTAGAGGTCGAGCACACAAATCTATGGCACTCTTACGCATTCTGTTTTGTTTCGTGAATGAGAACAGGTAAGACAGGGCAAACAGTCAGACAAGCGGCTTGGCTTAGCAACAAATGTTAATTACAGGTTAAAACAAATATATATTTTTAGTTCAGCTGTTAATTATAAATATGTACATAACATACAATATAAAAAGCTCAGATGAAAGACGTTAATGTCTATACGAAAATATCTAAAAAGCTTATGTACACACTGCCACATAGACAGACTGTCGTCTTAAAAATACAAAATGTGACAACTTAATGAAGCAAATTAGGCTTAAATGTTCTTCATAGCAAGCAAATGGCGCGCACGTAAAGTAAATAACAGCAGCAGCAACAGCAGCAGCAACAGCAGAAGGCAACTGTTAAAAGTCAGCGACAGTATCCCAGCGAAAGCGAGAGAGAGAGAGACGGCAACAAGATAGCAACAACAACTTGGTGGGCGTAGAATTAACAGAATGTAGTTGTGGTAAGGATGGTGGAGGGGGGAAGGGCACGTATGCATAAGATGGAAAGAACGGAAGCAAAAAAAAAAAAAAAACATCAACGCAGCCATAATTAACACGGCACGCAAATAAATTTAAAAGCAACACACAATAGTCGAATGTTTTCTTTTTTGACATTTGCGCCTCAGTCACTTTATGATTGGTTTAATTGCCAACATATAACAACAATTAGTTGTGCATAATTATAAGCTACATATTTTTATGCGTAATTATTCAAACACGCAAAAAAAAAAAAAAAAAACACTTGAAAATATATGAATTTCATATAATAATTGCTCGCATAAAAGCTCTCTCGGGGCAGAGAGAGAGAGAGAGACACCGTTAGTAAGTCAGCGTGATCTGCGCTTTTAACATGATGTTAAATTTGCTCTTTTGGTCAATTTGACAGAAAGTTGTGCATGCAAAAAACAAACATGGACACACACACACACACACACACACATAGACAAAGCGAACATTGTTTTTTTTTTTCAAAGAGCAGCTGGCATTTATTTATTTTTTTTTTTTTGTTGTTGACAATTTTTTTTTTTTTTTTTGGTTGTTTGCAGCTCAATCAATGGAAAGTTTTTATAGGAAGCCTGCGACCGGCTAATTTGCTCGAATAGTTATTACGTGTTTTGTGGCTGTTGTTGTTGCTGTTGCTGTGTGTGTATTGTGTGTTGTACATATGTATGTATATCGTACTGCTCGGGTTTTATGATAATCTCAATTGGGTCATATTACATAATAACGGACGGAGACGTGTCGCTTATCAGCGTTGGCCACGTAAAGTCGCCCTACGTGCATTCCATAGCCGAAGTTGTAATTTTTTACTTTTTTTTTTTTTTTTTTTTTTTTGCTTCTATTGACGTATTTTTCTTTTTTCTTTAATAGTTCGTGGGTGAGTCGAGCGAATGTTTTGGCCCTCATTAAACACATTGGGCAAGTCAACTAAATGAAAACAACTAAAAAAGAAAATCGTGTAATTATGAAAAAATTGGCATCGCATTTGTGTGGTCGGCCTAGTACCTAATTTTTTTTTCGATTGCTGTCAACGTCACTTCCGTTAGCAACTGTTCTCCCGTATTTGTACAATGAAATCATGTGCATATCTTATCTAACATACAAACATACATACACACATGCATGCATACATACATGCACACATACATACACAAACGCACCCATCAACCCGTTTTGTGTAGCAATTGCTCCAAAAATAATTTATATAAAAAATTTGTTGTGTACGTTCCGCGCCCGAAACAATTACAAATTGGCAAATAGACAAAAATAATGAATGACAACTCAAATAGCGACAGACACAATTGAGTTGCTTGTTCTCTTCCCCAATTTTGCGTTATCGATAAACAA